AAATTTAAGATCTAAAGAAATTCAATTTTGTTTATTGTGTAATTATTTATATAACATGGTTTTGCTATATACTGTTTTGTGAAAAAAAGACTATTCACGAATTAAAGATCCCACAAAAGTGTCAATTTTGACAAGACAACACAATTTCATGCCCACGAAATAAAATAAATTTACAGTAAATGATAACGTTTTTGTGTTATTCTTCGGAATACGATTTCAATGATATTAAAGAGAGTACTTATATCTTATTTTCATGATTAGGCTTATTGTGGTTATTTAGTACTTATAGTTACCTTAGGCTTGGTGATTATTAATTATATCAGAAACATCCTTATAGTATGGTAATCATTTTCCGTGTCAGTAAACATGAATGTATTATAATCAGCCTTGATGGGCCATCTGTTTTGAGAAGACAATTTTTATTATGGATTTTGCTAAATTTATTTGTCCCGAGTGACAAAGTCTTGATTTGCTTACAAAGTGTAGTTGATTGAAAACTAATTTTTTTATCTAGGTTAATTTATCATATAAATACACTCTTATATTTTTTGTATAGGCTCGTAGATCCTCTACATGAGGGGACAATTTGTCCGTCCGTAAGTCCTAAAAACAGGATTTTGTAACTTGAAATATTTTAAATAGGAAAAAAGAATCTTCAAAATCACATTGACTGCTGACGCATTTGGCATGACTATCGTCTTGTGTGTGTTTTGTTACAAATTCTGTTCAAATTACAGTCAATAATGACAATATGGTGCACCTTGGGGGTCATGGGTTTTCCTTCTATGTTAAAAGTGAAACATAAAAGTACCCTTCTTTAAACTAAATAGGTGGCAAGAGTCTTAATATTTGACATTAAAAAATGTCTAATAGAACTTCTAATAGAACATGTTTGTTGAATGATAAATTATTATTGAATCAAAATTTGCCCTGCCTCGGGAGATAATGGTTTTTAGCTCCACTTTTTAAAGAAAAAAAAGTGAAGCTCTTGTAATAACCCTTTTATCGGGGACTTTCCCGAACCCAAAAATTTTCCCTAGCAGCAAACAATTTACTTTCTTTAAACAAAAAGTAAATGCCCGAGCAAAACATTTTATTTTTCCAAAACAAAAATTGAATTCCTTTTGCAACCTTGGGAAATTTCATTTAAAAACAAAATGTTTTTAACAACCATTGACTTTCCATTTGTAACCAGTCTTTTTGAAGGCCCGAATTTACACTTTTTCCCAAAAAAGTCTGTTCTTTAAATTTTAAAACAATTGGGTTTTTTTAATAGCAAAACCCTGACATCCAAAAAAAACCAATTTACTTGTCAAGCAAAACCCGGGATTTTTTACGCAACCATGATTCAGTTTCCAACCATTGAGCTCCCAAACAAAACCCGAAATTTAAAACAACTAAAGATCAATAGTCATTGTAAAAATAGAAAACTTTAGTTTTGTTTAGTATGACATGGACCTTTCTGATTACGGCTTTGACTTGTTAATAAAGGCATTATAAAAATAGCATTTATAAAAAATAAATCTCCTATGAGAAGGCTAGAGCCAATAAATTTAAAATGTTATATGTCTAATTGTCATGTATGGATATTTTATAATTTATCATAGTACTGTGACAAAATCTTGCCCTGTCCTTGGATGAAAGTTTTACATAAAATAAACTGTACATGATAATATGATCTCACTTGATTGTCCATAGTACATTTGGTTGAAACTTCCGAATGTAAAAACATGAGAGAACAATTTATTATTGTTTGCTAGTTCTTGAACCATTAATTGTCAAAAGCTGCAGTATGATAATCAGTAAAAGAAAAAGCTGATTTCTACCATCATGTTTCTTTATTGTTATGTTTCTGGACTTTACATGAAAACGAAAGTTATACATGTATTGACAATATAATAGTACTTTGTATCTGAAAACATTATAAAATGAGCGTCATTACAAGTTGCCGTCGTGTAATGTTCTGTATTAAAATCATTTTAATTATCTCTTCCTGTCTGTGTATTATTGGCTGAGCTCTTGCTAATTTAAATAATCAGGATGCAAATAAGATTGGAAAGTGGTCTGTAAAGGAAAATAAGCAGAACTAAACAGGAAAATATTAGAAAACATAAATGATAGGTATGTAATTTTGTCTCTGCCCTTAATCATTAATGTATCCCAAGGCTCAGTCAGTTCCGTTTCTATGTAAATAGCATGAAATGATTTGGGCTTAAACCAATCTACCATTGTCAAGATTGCTATGGAAAGAAATGGTAAAACCTGTATCGCTCTTTAAAGCAGACTGAATGCATTTAAAAGATTGCAAGATTCTTGCTGATTAAAGTTCACAACCCATAAATAATGAACGGGAATTGTATGTCTGTTTTTGAAGGTAAAGTAATAATTTTTTTAGATCAGTTTGTCTTTGGATATATAATATATAGCATTTAAGTAAGTGTGGGTTCTTTTGTACAGTCTATAAATATTAAGTTAATATAATAAGGTTCTTTTTATGCCACCACAGCATCTGCGATGCGGTGGCATATAGCGATTCACCTGTGTGTGTGTTTGTTTGTGTGTGTGTGTTATATAGATTAAAGAGTGAACTTAAAAAATCTTCTTGTGAAAAACCACTAGTCCAATTTCAACCAAACATGGCGGGATTGATCCTTGAAGGGCTTCCAAAGTTGTTCAAAGAATTTCATTCCATGCAGAAATCTTGTTGCCATGGCAACCATAAGGAATTATAAGAATAAATTTAAAAAATCTTCTTGTAAAGATCCAAAAGGCCTAGATATTTTAGCTTAGATATTTTGCATAAGGCATTGTCCTGTAGACCTCTGTCAAGATTGTTCAAATTATAGCCCTGGGGTCAAAATCGGTCCCGCCCCGGGGGTCATTGATTTTCACTATATATACATATAGTAAAAACATAAAATACCTTCCTGTAAAGACCCTAAAGGCCTAGAGCTTAGATATTTTGCATAAGGCATTGTCTGGTAGAAATCTACCAAGATTGTTCAACTTATAGCCCTGGGGTCAAAATCGGCCCCGTCCCGGGGGTCATTGATTTTCACTATATATACATATAGTAAAAACTTAAAATCCTTCTTGTAAAGAACAAAAAGGCCTAGAGCTTAGATATTTTGCATAAGGCATTGTCTGGTAGACCTCTACCCAAATTGTTCAAATTATAGCCCTGGGGTCAAAATCGGCCCCGCCCCGGGGGTCATAGGTTTTCCTGATATGTATATAGTAAAAACTTTAAAAAAATTTCTTCTAGCAATTGACAAATGCTAGAGGTAAGATATTTTGCATGAAAAATTGTGAAGTGAACTTCTAGCAAGATTGTTCAAATTATAGCCCTGGGGTCAAAATTGGTCCCGCCCAGGGGGTCATTAATTTTCAATATAAACATATAGTAAAGAATAAAAAAATCTTATTGTCTAAAGGTACAAGGCCTAGAGCTCTAATATTTGTTAAGTGATATCATCTATAGGTACTCTACCAAAGTTGTTCAAATTTTGTCTTTAGTGTCAAAATTAGCCCCGCCCCGGGGGCAATAGGTTTTCCTTATATGTATGTAGTAAAAACTTAAAAAAAATTTCCCTAAATTTACAAAGGCTAGAGTTAAGATATTTTTCATGAAACATTATGTAGTGAACCACTAGCAAGATTATAGCCCTGGGGTCAAAATTGGCCTGGCCCCACCCCCAGGGGTCATTGATTTTCACTATGTACATACATGTATAGTAAAAATTAAAAAATCTTCTTGTCTGAAGGTACAAGGCTTAGAGCTTTGATATTTGGTATATAATATCATCTATGGGTCCTCTACTAAAGTTGTTTTAATTATGCCCCTAGTGTTAAAATTGCCCTGCCCCAGAGGCGATAGTTTTCCTTATATGTATAAAGTAAAAACTTGAAAAATCTTCTTCTCTGAATTGAAAAATCTTCTTCTCTGAATTGACAAAGGCTAGAGGTTAAATATATGGCATGAGACTTTGCGAAGTGAGCCTTTACCAAGATTGTTCAAATTATAGCCCTGGGGTCAAAATTGATCCCGCCCCGGGGGTCATTGATTTTCATTATGTACATATAGTAAAAAAATAAAAAATATTTTTGTCTGAAGGTACAAGGCATAGAGCTTTGATGTTTGCTATATACCTACTTTCTTGTCCTTTGATGTACAGCTATGAAATTTGAACCATGTGCACAGATTAAGATGTAAAGTGAACTTTGATTTCAGCTGACCTAGATTTTAATAAAGTGTCTTACTGTGTTGTCCTTTGATGTAGTCATGAAATTTAGGCTGTGTGAAATATGACCTTCACCACCAAATTCACTAGACTTGAGTGCATTGATATATTCCTACTCTGATTTTTTATTGAGTTAACAACAGATTTAACCACTAATCTGATATTAAGAATTAGATAGGTCAGGGATCTTTGCATTATGACAATCTTCAAAATTGTATAGAAACAAAAAAAAATCTGTTCCTACACTACTATTTAGTGTTGTATTAATGCGGTGGCATAGCATATTTCTCAAATGCAATCTTGTTTACTTTAAGACCATATGGTAATGGGTTTCATAAAATATATTGAGCATACATTATCTTAAATTAATTGCTATAGGTATCTTGTAAAAAGAGCATGGGTGTCATTCTGGTGAGGCTACCTTCCAAATCGGACTTCCTGTTAATTCCATTTTATCATCAAATTGCAAATTTAGATTATACTGTTATACAATGAAGGAATGACCGAAATGTAGTGTAGATAAAGTTCTTTTTGTTTATCGTGGCAGATAACAGTAATATGTATATCATGCTGATAATATTGTATATCATTGCTTCTAATTGTTTGTAAATCATTGCCGGTAATATTTGTTGGTCATTGCAGGTAATGTTTTGTTAGTCATTACAGCTAATATTTCTTTATCATTGCAGGGAATATTTTCATTATTACAGTTAATATTTTTGTTAGTCATTGCAGGTAATATTTTGTTAATCATTATAGGTAAAGATGAAGAAGATAAATCATCATTAAGCAGAAGTAACAGAGAAAGTTCCCCGAGTACACCACAACCCATGCCACCAAATGAACTTGTCCTAAAACAGAACCATCAGAAAATATATCAAATGGTATCATCACAAGTAAGTTAAATACATATTAATATGCCCGGAGACCTTTGGGGTGCATTATAAAAGCATCATTAAAGCATGATTACATACTTTTTCTGATTTTGAAAAATATATTAATGTTCAGTTTATTCTATTTTATATATAACATGTTACAAAGGACAGAAATCTATTTATTATTATCTGCCTCTTTTTTATCAGGTTGTAAAATTTGAAGTAAGTGAACAGCTTATATTGTTACCTTATTTTACCAAACATTTG